GCAGCATTCTCTTATTAGACACATGTTTTGTGGTTTCTGATTCATACAGGCCCTATGACTGAATTATTTGCTAGTTTCTTTTGCTTAGCAGACTAAAACAGTTTTATTTCTGGGAGAATTAAGTGAGCAACCAAGATTTTTGCATTTTTATACATCATTTCTTTCTCTAATTATATTTCTACTTGTCCAGAACACATAAGCCTTCTTGAGTCAATTGGTCTTGTTGCCCTGTAAGTATAAGATCACATATTTATATCTTGGGGCACATTTTACTATTTGTTTCATAGCAGGTCTTTGAAGATACTGAAATAAGACTGGCAGGACCTGTAAGTTGAACCCTAACTCTATTCTACTGGGCATTTCAGCAATTCATTTATTGTTGTTTTACTCTTTGCCTAACACCCTTAATAAAATGAAAGTATTAAACAAACCTGGTGCAGGAGGGGAAGGGCAGCATCCAGTGGTTTTCTTCTGACATCCAGCCTCTCTTCCTGCTTGTAAAATCTCTCAAAAAATGATGTTCGGTTTTTGATAACAGACTGCAAGCCCTCAGATACACATCTTTGTGATTGCACAGTTGTATTCTCTGAAATGCTTTTCTTAAATTGAACAGGTGAGGGTTCTGCATGAGAAAAGTAGTTTCAGATATTATTTATTTAGCTTTGTCAAGGAATTAATACACTCTGATTTCTTCTAATGTCTGTCTGTCTATCTCCTGGTATCTATCTGTCTATCTGTGTCTATCTCTATCTATCTATCTATCTATCTATCTATCTATCTATCCATCCATCCATCCATCCATCCATCCATCCAGACTGCACCGGTTTGCTTTTCGCCCTAAAGAAACTTTTCATATCTCTGCAAACCACAGAGATCTCTCTGAACAATAAGCTTTTCAAGGTGAAGCACATTCAAAATTTTGGGAACATACTGTGGCTATCATGATGAAAGCACCAAGTTAGGAGAAAGCAAACTGCTAAAGTTTCTCCTTGCAACTTATATATGTCATTTTATTGAATAGGGAGGCTTCTTTCAAAGCGCACTGGATTAGGGAGCGCACAGTATAGGGAAATACTGTGGGTTTCAGAGATATTTTTTTTAAAATATAGGCTATGCTAAAGTCTGCGTGAATTCCAGTGGTGTTTTTTTTTCCATTACAATGGCCATTAAAAAGGATAAACGGTAACACAAGGTGTCTGGCAGATATTAATGGAATTCCCAAGGAAATATTTTACTCTCGGGTAGTTCCTTCCTTCCCTCCCTCCCTCCTTCCTTCCTTCCTTCCTTCCTTCCTCTTTCCCTTTTGGAGGGAAGGAAGACCTGCCTAGATTGGTATTAAGTCAAATCCCTGCCAGTGAACCAGGACTAATGCCTAAAAAAATATTTATTTATACTTCTGAATTCATCCAAGCATAATTGCATGAAGCAAGGCATTCTATCTCCATAATCTCTGAAGATAAGTAGTGGACTTTAGTGCTATTTTGTGCAGTTTGGGCAAGTAAACACGCAACCATTTCTTCCAAGTAGTCCTTGACTTAACCACCATTTAGCGATGGTGAAAAAATACCACCAAAAAATGACTTTAAAATGGTCCTCAACACTTAAGGAGTACCACAGCATCCCTAGGGTCACATGGTCAAAATTTGGACGCTTGGCAATTGGTATGTAGTTACAGGGGTTACAGCGTCTAAGAATCGTGTGATTGTCATTTGTGATCTTTTCCCAGACAGCTTCCAAAAAGCAACATCAATAGGAGATGCCAATTTACTTAATGGTTGCAAGATTCACTTAACAAGGACATGAATTCACTTAACAGCCATGGCAAAAAAGGTCATAAAATCAGGAACAACTCACTTAGCAACCACCACAACATAAATTCTGTTCTCAATTGTGGTTGTAAGTCAAGGATTACTTGCATTTTGAAACACACATTGGGTTGCTTATCTCTTCACAGTATGAAACATGAAACCTTCACATACCGAATGCAGTGGTTCTTTCCATTCCCCATGAATTCAAAACAACAAATACAGTATAAATGAATGGCTTGCCTCAGCAATTGGTTATTATCTTATATCTCTTGTATATCTACTCATTGATATGGTGAAAAATTGTTACCTTCTTCAGACATTTTCCTCTTGACTCTCAGTGGTATTGGGTCTGTGATAACATCTGTAAGCACCTCTTTAAAAAGACAGTAAATATTTATTGGCAATGTGTTATTAAAATTTGGGGTGCAAGATGGATAAATTTGTTAATAGGTTAATTTAACTGAATTCACACTTCTGGAACTAAAATAAGCAGAAACACAGCTACTTTTTTGTGGTTGTTGTTTTACATTTCTCTAAACTTTGTAGAAATTTCTTCAGTAATACCGTATTTGCCGGCGTATAAGACGACTTTTTTGCCCCGAAAAACATGCCTCCAAGTGGGGGGGTCGTCTTATACGCCGGTATATCCACTGCCGGCTTTCGGAGGCTTGTTGGACGCAGCGAAGGCGCCTCTGGCTTCCTGGATCCCCTGCGTCGCTTCCGCTTCATCCCGCTCGCCTCGCTCCGCCCGAGGCTGCAGCCTTACTGCTCTTCCCACGGCCCCTGGCACTCTGCCCTGCCGCTGCAGCCCCAGGGATTTCTGGAGGGCGTTTCCGGTGGTGGTGGGGGGTCGTCTTATACGCCGGGTCGTCTTATACGCCGGCAAATACGGTAATTGCCTGGATCATCAATATAGATACAGAGCTGCAAGTAAAGGTTTAGATACTGTTGGTCAAATATTTTCCTTTTTTAATAAAAGCCTATGTAAATATATCCTGGATACTTTTCCAACTGAATATTAGCTCCTGCTAATAAGACACACACACATTGCCGCTCCAAAATTAATTCATCAATGTGTGTGTGGTGAATACTATTTCAGTGATGAACGAATGCTCTCATCTTTTAACCTCTCATTTTGTGATTTTCTGTATACTTGGCAAGAGCCATGGGTTTTTCTTAAGCAGCTTCTCTGAGCATTTGAAAATTAGAATTATATGCTGAAGAAGGGCATTTGGAATTTTATTTGGCATGGAAAAACTCCCATGTCCTTACAATGTGTAGAGAACTTGGGAAAGGCATATTGCATCCCTCAAAAAAGTGGCAGGGTGTAATCTGTGGCAAGTTTAGACAGTGCCCATGAAAAAGTGGCATGGATCAAATCCTGCCAAACAAATATTATTTTGTTCTTTGACAAAGTGTCTCAATTAGTAGATGAGTAAAATGCAGTGCACATAGTACACACTTGGATTTCAGCAAAGCATTTGACAAAGTAGACACAACTTCTTGGTAAGCTAAAAAATAAAGTGGGATAAACAGCATCACCACCAGATGGATTTGTAACTGGCTGACGAATCACACTCAATGTGCGGTTCTCATTGAAAATACATCTACATGGAAGGAAGGAAGCAGTGGGATACCCAAGGTTCTGTTTTAGGCCCAGTACTCCTCAACATCTTCAGAAATTATTTAGATGAGGGAATTGAAAGGGAACTCAATCAAATTTGCAAAGGACACTAAACTGGCAAGAATAGCCAACACTCCAGAAGATCCAGGTAGGCCCTATCTTAACAAAATGAAATTCAATGTAGAGAAAAGTAAGGTTTTATATTAGGCAAGAAAAGCCAAATGTACAGATATAGATTAGGTAAAACCTAGCTTGATAGCAATAACTGTGAGAGGGATCTTGGAGTCCTAATGGACAATCACTTAAATATCAGCCAGCAGTGTGTAGCAGCAGCCAACAAAGCCAATGCTTTGGCTTTGCATTAACGGAGTGATAGAATCAAGATCATATGAAATATTAGTACCGCTTTATAAAGCCTTTGTAGGATCGCATTTAGAATATTGCATACAGTTTTGTTCACTATATTATTAAAAAAAGATGTAGATACTCTGGAAATAGTGCATAAAAGAGCAACAAAGATTATTAGGGGGCTGGAGGCTAAAGCATATGAAGAACGGTTGCAGGAATTAGCTTTGTCTAGTGAAAAAGAAAGACTAGAGGAACATGAGTGCAGTGGTCCAATATTTGAAGGGCTGCCACAAAGAAGAGAGGGTCAACCTATTTTCCAAAGCAACAGAAAGCAAGACAAGAAACAATGGATTGAAACTAATCTAGGAGAGAAGCAACCTAGAACTGAGGTGAAATTTCCAACAGTAAGAACAATTAACCAGTGGAATGGCTTATCTTCAGAAGTTACGGGCTCTCCATCACTGGAGGATTTTAAGAAGAGACTGGATAGCCACTTGTCTGGAATGGGATTGGACAGGGGTGTCAACCTCAAGGCCCGCGGGGTTGGCCTGAAAATATCAAAGGACTGGCCCACAGTGCCTCTGGTGGCTAAAATGGGCTGTGTGTAGCCCTCCCCGCCTCATTGCCTCCTGCAGCACTGCCAGCCGGAAAATGGGCCGTTTTTGGCCGGCAGAGTGCTGCAGGTGGCCATGGAGGGCGAAAACGAGGCACGGGGTCAGCACGCAGACCCCCCCCCCCGTGCCCCATTTTGGCCGGCTGGGTGCCACACAGTGATGGGATTCAAATGTTTTTACTACCGGTTCTGTGGGCGTGGCTTGGTGGGTGTGGCAGGGGAAGGATACTGCAAAATCTCCAGTCAGAGGTGGTATTTGCCAGTTCTCCGAACTACTCCAAATTTCCGCTACCGGTTCTCCAGAACTGGTCAGAACCTGCTGAATACCACCTCTGGTGCTGCAGGAGGCATCCGTCCTGTCCCCCCACCAGTGACCCGTGGAGGAGAACTACAGTGCTGGTTAAAACCTTGAGATTAGCTCTTGTTCATCAGATAACAATCGATCCCTTCCAATCAGAGTTGGGAGGGATCGTGGAGATCTTCTAGTCCAATTCCCTGCACAAGCAGGATCCACGATCCCTTCCAACTCTGATTGGAAGGGATCGATTGTTATCTGATGAACAAGAGCTAATCTCAAGATTAGCTAATCTCATAGATGGGGCCTCTTTTACATAAGAATAGACTTTCTGTGTCTTTTAACTGCCTGGCAACAAGAACAAAAAGTAATCTGCAGGCCAAGACCTTATGTAGGCTTTATTTATAACGTCAAATCCAAACTTAATTTTCAACTGGAATCAAGTTAATTGTAGCTAGGAGTTTATCAGCCATGTTGATATATAGGTCAATGTTAGGACAAGGGTGGGATCTAATGGGGAATCACGCTCAGCAGGAAGGAGGTGTAGAGAGAGGGAGGAATATAATCTTGTGACCTACTCCAGAATACTAGCAAATAAATAAGTTGCTTGTTTCATGTGTGACACCCATCCTGTGATTTTCTTCTGGGATGTGGATTATTAACTCTGAATTACAAGGCTTAGATGAAGCTTGCTACCATCCTGATATAACCATAGCTTTGATAAGGCGTTTCTTCCAATATTTAAGCTATTCTGGATTCTGTGATATTGTAGGAAGTTAGCAAGCACCCCTCTCCTAGAAAATTGAAATATCCTAGGAAATATTAAAAAGGCAGAATATTTCCTCTACAAAGAGTAGAAACTCAGAAAGCAGAAACTCCCTCCCACCTTTGTTAATGGGTGGGCCATTAAGGCCTGGGTCAGAATACTTTACATAACAAAGATCTCCAGGTAAAACTATATCAATTGCCCAAAGCCCTTTCAGTGCATCATCCAGCAAGGCTCAACCAAGCCTGGAACTCAGGGCAGCCTACAGTTGCCCCTGCATGGCCCCATGGGAGTCTGACAACCAATCAGAATACAAGCTCCAATTCAAATCCCAACAAAGGGTATAAAACCCAGGCACCCTCGGCATATGATCCTCTTTCTTGATCTCTTCCTTCACCTTGGAGCATGTGATCATCCTTCCTTTTCACTCTGGGGCTCCAGGCCATGTGGTCCTCCTGTCCACCATTAAACCTTCCAAACAGCCTCCATGTTTCCAGTGACTTTTTTCCCCACTTGGAACTGAACCCAGAAGGATATTTCTTCCAACAATATCGGCGACCCAGATGGTGATGGAGCTCTAAGCCATGTGGTCCTGTCCACCATTAAACCTTCCAAACAGCCTCCATGTTTCCAGTGACTTTTTCCCCACTTGGAACTGAACCCAGAAGGATATTTCTCCCAACAATATTATTAGTATTTAATATCACACGGGTTCCGTCCCTGCATGTAAACATACCTGAGGGCTGATTCCTCAAAATGCAGTCGATTTCATCATAAAATCTCATCTTCCTGTTTGCGCTGCCAGGCTGGTTGTTTTCTTTCTGCACCGCTCGATATTCGTATTTTAAGTTCTTGTATTTTGTACGACACTGTTTCCAGTCTCTGTCTATCCCAACTTTCATTAGCCTTCGGGCAATCTCCTCAAATATTTCTTTATTCCTTGTTGCTCCTTCAAGCATTTGTTGTATTTCCTCGTCTGACCATATATTTATCAGAGCTCTGACTTCATTGTCACACCAGTGCTTTCCTGCTCCTGTGTCATTGACTGTAATGACTCGAAAGTGATTTTGGGCTTCGTCCAAGGTCATCTGATTGTCTGAAGATTCAAAATTAAAACAACTGAAACAAAGTATTTCACAAAACAAAAGCAGATTATTGCATTCCCCACCCCCATAAAGCTATTAGACAAAAGTATTCAGTGGGTATTTAACTAGGAAAAGATCTGAACAAAAAATGGAACACTATATAAAGAAATTAGGGCTTGTGTGCCACTTCAGATACAGTCTCCAAAAAACTGCATTGGGTTCTGTATGCACCTCTTAGCTGTAATTTCTTAAAACTACTACACAATCTTGGAAAAGATGTTGTAGCCAGGTGCTGTATCCATATTTTCTGACATCCCATTTTTATTAGAAACTATTAGCTACAGAAAAATAGCTTGAAAGAGATTTCCTATGCAGTATTTAGTAGTAGCTTTATAACTTAGGTACTCCATCAGTGTTGAGATTCAAAAAATTTTACTACCAGTTCTGTGAGTGTGGCTTGGTGGGCGTGGCTTGGTGGGCATGGCAGGGGAAGGATACTGCAAAATCTCCATTCCTACCCCACTCCACTAACCTGCTTTCCAGCTCCATTCTCCTATGAAGGGCAACCAAAGAAGACCCAGCCAATCAGCTGGGACTCGGGAGGTGGGGAATAGATGGGGGTGGGGCCAGTCAGAGATGGTATTTGCCGGTTCTCCAAACTACTCAAAATTTCCGCTACCGGTTCTCTAGAACTGGTCAGAACCTGCTGAATACCACCTCCGTACTCCATATGTAAAGAGGGGAATCTGTGAGTTAATCCACTTTATAATTTGAATGGAAGCAATCGCTTTAATTTCGAAGAACTACTTTACATAAGACATTGTTTTCCGATCTGGGATACACTCCTCATGTATACATTTTAATTCTAGTGTGGAGGTGACTGAGAATTGTGAGAGCTTAACTCCACACTTCTGAAGGCAACATGGGGAAAACTGGGAACTAGTTAAAAGGTGCATCTTGCAGCTAAGAAGAATAATTTGAGCTATAAGGAAAGAGATTCGGGTTAGTCTTCTAGAGGAATTTCTTGATTATATAGCTGTATAAACATGAACTGCTTCAGCTGAAATTTTCATACAGGCTGGATGGTCAATTATCAGAGATGTTGTAGAGCAGGCCTGTCAAACTGGCGGCCCACAGGCCGGATACGTCATGCAGGCCATGCTCATCCCAGTTCCGCAAAGGCAAAAGTCGCGATACGTCATGATCTAGCCCATGACGTCATCAAGTTTGACCCCTGTGTTTCAGAGTATGCTGCACTGGTTTCATCACAACTAAGGTCATTCTGAATCTGTGTTTCTGTTATTCTGTGAACTTGCTTTGTTCTGTATTGTAGTTTGGTTTAGAAAACAGAGCAACATCTACCCAATTAAATTTAGATTAAAGCTTGGGTATCAGGCTCTGACTATACAATCCCATGCATATTTATTCAGAAGTAAATTCTTCTACAAAAGAGGGCTGTTTTTGGTAAGTATGTTTCATATGTCAAAATATAGTTATATAGAGCAGGTCCTTTGGGACATCAGGGACCACCAAACTCATAATTCTCCTGGGAGCCGTTCGGATCATCCAGAGAGTGGGAGGTGCTTCAGTCTGCGTCGTTGTAGGCTGAGCTTAATTACTGAGGATTGCTCCGCCCTTCACCACGTGGCTGCCTTGCAATCCCCAGTTTACGCTCAGCCTTCGTCAGATTAGGCTGTGTATCTCCCACTCTTTGGCCGATTCAAGTTCCTTTTTAACAGCTATAGAAAAGAAAAAGAAAAAATTTTCCCTTCAGGTTTGCCTTGCGTTTCGGTTCTCCTTAGCCTCTGCGCAATTGGGGTGGCTATAGCAGGGGAGCGCGTTCTTCGCCCCCAGGGGGGATAGGGAGCGGGCGGCTTTCGCGCTCCGGCGCCAATCCTCCCCCCCCCCCTTCCAATTCGGCTCCTTTCCTGCCGCTTTTTCGCGCCGCTATTGTAGCGGCTCCACTCGATCGCGCTGATAAGCGCAGCTGGTGATCCCCCCCACCGCGAACGCCGATCGCCCCAAAAAGGGGCGAAAAATTGTCTCACTGCCTCTCTCGGCCTCCAGGTTTGCCGGAGAGGCTTAGTCTTGCCCTGAGCGGCCCGTTTTTAAAGGGATCGTGGGCGGCCGCCATTTTGGGCGCCGCCACGTTTTCGGGCGCTTTGTAACAGGCCTCTGCGACTGCGAAGAAACTAGTCTTCTAATCATAGGCCTCCCAGCCTGTGAGAACTTACTGCATTCTTAGACATTGGCAAATTGTTGGCTTTCCGCAGCAGCTCAGGGCAGGGAATTGCAGCCTATCCCTCCCGGTGGTTTCCTGGGAGCTCCAGCTGCCAGAGGCCTCACTTCAGCCTCAGGCGTTCATTTGGACAATTGGAGAATTTAACACCGTATCTGGGGTCACTCCCTCCTGGGAGCGCTGAACAGGTCCCGGTTTATTTCTTGTCAAAAAGTATTATTATTAAAAATAATAATAATAATAATAATGATAATGATAATGATGATAATGATAATGATAATGATGATAATGATACATAACTATATACATATACATATATACGTTTTCTGAGGTATATATATATTTTCATATATATTATTGGTACTTGGCAATAACGCATTACCAACACTGATTGGATTACATATACAGTGCTTATACGCATGTATATATATTTATATTAATAATTATAACAATAATAATATTGTAGAACTTACATATCTAAATTCCAAAAGGGGGCGCGGGCCAGCTGAAAGGACACCCGGCCTTTGTTGTAGGCCGAAACCTTGGCGAGCCAACCGCCTTAAATTGGAGCTAGAGTCCTTTCTTCTATAATGGCAGATGACAATTCCACTAGAGGCTCTTCTTTGAAGGCCAGATCTAAGTCCTACCACCTGCGCAGACAGGCTAAGGAAGCCTCTAAGGAAACTTCCAAGGCTTCTCAGAGAGACGCCCTAAGGCGTCATAGGGCACTGGAGAAAGAATCTGACAGGCGATCTAGAAAGGCACAACCAGTGCCCCCAGCCCTCCCACCCTCCATTCCTTCTACCTCCAGACACCCCCCCTCCCCCAGATTGTTCTTCCCTCTCCAGGCGCAGCTTATCCCTGGGACGCCAGGTCCCCGAATCAACAGCCAGACGGCCGAAGTACTTTCACGCCCACGGCTGCTGGTCTGCGCCAGGAGGAGGCCGCCACTGTCGAGATTTCTGCGCTCATGCAGGCATGGATGGAACGGGCTATCCGCCAGGGGATAGCAGAGGGCATTCAACAGATGTACAGGTCCGGTCCCCCCTCGATGGCGCCCGAACACGACTCGCCATCAGTCAGGTCCTCGCCTAGATTGGACCCTACCCATGGTCAGGTACCTTTATGGGGGGACAGCCCCCTCCCAGAAGGGGAAATGGAGGAGGCTATAGAGGACCTGGATAGGTTCGGGGAGGAGGAGGATCTTGAATGGGGGTCTACACAAGGGGAACCCCTATCGGAGATAGGCCCGATAGAAGGAGACATGTCCGAGGACGAGGGCCTCACTCCCTATCAACCCACCTTCTGGGTTTGTTCAAGCCACACATGCTTAATCACTACTCTTTAAGGCCAAGAACATTTCTGGCCTGTCGGTTCAGTCCTCTCCGGCTCTCCCCTCCCCGGCAGAGGGACAAGAGGACGCCATTTTTAGGCAGCCCGTGGTGGAGGCGAAGGTTATTCCGGCCCCACCCATATTCCACGACCTAGTTTAAGACCAATTGGACTCTACAAGAGCTTCCCCTGCCCATCCAGCCAGGACAAGAGGTTCTTTAACCTCGAGCTGAGCTTTTACAACTTGCTTAACACTCCCGAGGTAGACAAGCCCTTCGTTGGTTCAGTATCCTCGTCCTCTTCCAGTGACCCCCTGGAAGCCCGAAACCCGAGGACAAAAGGTCCAAACTGGCCTTACGTAGGACTCATCAGGCCGACACCTGGGCCATTAGATCGGCCATGGCCGCTTCCCTTTCACCAGGTCCTCGATCCGGTGGCTCCGCCAAGTGAAACAGCATGTTCCCCCCTCTAACACAAGGGCACATCAGAAAATCGCAAAGTTGACGGCCGCAGCAGAATTCTCAGCCGACGCCACCTACCACGCGGTGAAGTCCTCCGCCCGAGCGATATCCTCTCACGTTACAGCTCGCCGCCTGCTCTGGCTCAAGCACTGGCAGGCGGACATAAAAAACAAGGTTAAGCTGGCCACTGCCCCCATTAAGAGGGACAGACTCTTTGGTGCCGCCCTGGAGCCATTGCTATCCGAACCCCGAAGTAAGAAAAAATTTCTTCCCCCCCCCTTTTCGGAGGTCAGAGTCAAGAGCCCCCAGCCCTTTCGGAGAGGTCCCTCCCGACCCTTCTACCAGTCATCTTTCCAGCCCAGGTATCCGAGACTCCCCTCCTTCCGGCCACTCCAGCCCCAGGATCGAGCCGATCCAGGTGACAGGAACAGGAGGGGCGGCAGCTACAGACGTCCCTTCAGGGGCTCCGGAGGGTAGCCCTTCCGGCGCACCAGATAGACCTCGTCCCTCCCTTCCCATCGGCGGACGCCTCAAGCATTTCGCTGACCGATGGGATTCCTCCACTTCCGATGCCGGGGTCCGGGACTCCATCAGACTTGGTCTCGCGCTTGAATTCCAGCGCACCCCCCCTGACTTCCTTATGGCATCCCCCCTTCAAGGGACCCCACTAAATGCAACTTAATGGATTCAGCCATTCAGCATCTCTTTAGCATACAGGCCATACATCCCGTCCCACCATCCCAGCGGGGGCAGGGGTTTCACTCTCACCTCTTCGTGGTCCCCAAATCCTCAGGGGGATGGAGGGCTATTCTAGACCTGAAACGCCTCAACCGTTACTTGATTTACCGCAGGTTTAAGATGCACACCCTGCAGTCCATTCTCCTGGGCATCAGACAGGGGGATTGGCTAGCCTCTATAGACCTTCAGAGGCGTATCTCCACATTCCAATCCGGCCCTCCCATTCCATATTCCTCAGATTCTGCTACAACCACCACCACGTCCAATATGTGGCCATTCCCTTTGGGATGGCCTCTAACCCGGGGACTTTCACTAGGGTCCTCACGGCTCTGGCGGCCCACCTCAGGAACCTCCCGGTTCGTCTCCATTGTTACCTGGATGACATCCTCATCCTGTCCCACTCCAGACTCCAAGCAGAGAAGGATGTCAGAGCTACCCTCTCTGCCCTCCAAGACCATAGGTTTCCGGTAACTGGAAAAAGAGCCAACTGTTACCTTCTACACGCATCACCCACTTGGGGGCCGTCATTGACTCAGTTCGGGGAAAGGTTTCCCTTCCTCGGAAAGATTCCTTAGCATTCAGGAAACCATCACACACATCAGACGTTCAATAAGGGTAACACTTTTGGATCTGTCTAAGCTACTAGGTAAAATGGTCTCATGTATTTCCATCGTTCCCTGGGCCCGGTTACACACCAGGTCCCTACAGTGGTTCCTGCTTCCGTTCCAACGGTCCAGCAGTAGCAATTCAAAGGCCACGGTCAAGGTGCCTTCAAAGGTCTTCACGTCTCTCCTCTGGTGGACCAGTCCCGCCATCAACAGGGACATGGCCTCTAGAAGCCCCGACGCCTCACCCTCTCCACAGACGCCAGCCTGTTCGGAGGGGGCGCTCACATCCACTCGCTTTCGACACAGGGCAGATGGTCTCAGGTAGAACGGGCATACAGTATAAACTGGTTGGAACTCCGCGCCATCCACCTGGGCCTACGCCACTTCCTCCCTCAGGTACGTGGGCGGCATGTCCTTATACTTACGGACAACATCACTGCCAAGGCCCTTGTCAACCGACAAGGGGGCACCCAGTCCATCCGTTTGATGAGAGAGGCCGAGCGCCTCTGCCGTTGGGCGGAGCGCAATCTCCTCTCTCTCAAAGCCGAGCACATCTCAGGGGACTTAAACACCCAAGCAGACTGGTTGAGCAGGACCACGGGGGACCAGTCCGAGTGGCGCCTCCACCCGTCACTGTTCAGGGAGGCGACCGGGCTGTTCGGCCTCCCCTCAGTGGACCTCCTCGCATACCCCCTCATCACTCAACTCCCCAGGTTTTTCTCGAGGTACCCCTCCCACGGGGCCGAGAACTACAAAGCCCGCCGTTGCCCCTGGCCCACAGGGTTTCTATATGCTCTCCCTCCCGTAGCCCTGGTACTCAGGGCCATCCAGAGGTTCATCTCCAAGACAGCAGAACTGATTCTGATGGCACTCTACTGGCCCAGGCGCCCATGGTTCGCGGACCTCCGCAACCTATCGATGGCCCCTCCCTGGGAAATTCTTCCGAACAGGATTCCTTTCTCAGGGTCCCCCCCAGCACCCGGACCCGCGGTGGCTCCAGCGAGCTGTTTGGAGGTTGAGCGGGAGCGTTTAAGAAAGGAGCAGTTTCGGACTAGGTTATTGATACCATCCTAGCCGCCAGGCGACCCTCCACAGCCCGAATCTTTAATGCCACTTGGAATAGTTTCTGCAAGGGTGCCAGGGTTTCCAGGTCAACCCGCTTTCACCATCCATAGCTCAAGTGTTGGAATTCCTCCAGAGGGTCTGAGGAAAGGTCTTTCTCCGAACACCCTGAGGCGTCAGGTCGCAGCCCCTTTCAACCGTCATTGCTTGTGGCAATCTGGGGTCCCTTTCCCTCCACCCTCGCATTAGGGCATTCCTCAGGGGAGCCACTACCTGTGTTCCCATCAGTTCACAGATACCCCACTTGGGACCTCAATAAGGTCCTTGTGGCCCTTACCAAACACCCCTTTGAGCCGCTCAGGGAATCCACTCTCCAGTTCCTAACATTCAAGGTTGTGTTTCTAGTGGCCAACTTCGGCTCGCCGAATATCAGAGATAGCGGCCTTGTCGGTGAGGAAGGACCTTTGCATCTTCCATGCCGACCGGGTAGTTCTCCGGCCGGATCCTACCTTCTTGCCCAAGGTCAACTCAGCCTTCCACAGGGCACAGGAACTCACACTTCCGAACTTCTGCCCCAATCCCTCGCGGGAAAGGGAGAAGCCTTGGCATACCCTAGATGTAAGACGGGCCCTCTACATTTACATTAAACGTACCCAGCCCTTCAGGAGATCCGAATCCCTATTCCTTTCCTTTCAGCCCAAATCGTTAGGCCACAAAGTGTCCCCGTCAACCATCGGCCGCTGGATTAGAGCTACTATTTCCCAAGCTTACCTGTCCCAGGCCCTGCCCATTCCCAGCGGAATAACGGCACACTCCACCAGAAGTGCTGCTACCTCAGCTACTTGGGCCACCCAGGTTCCAATCGCTGACGTTTGTCGGGCAGCCACTTGGGCCTCCCCATCTCCCTTTATTAGATATTATAAGATCGACATACTTGCTTCGGCGGAGGCTTCGTTTGGTAGACGAGTCCTCCAGCGAGTCCTCACGGAACCGCAGAGATTGCAGGACCAGACGGACTCCCTCCCGTAGGACAGCCAAGCTTTGGTATGTCCCACTCTCTGGATGATCCGAACGGCTCCCAGGAGAATGGGCGTTGGTTCTTACCTGACACGCCATTTCTCTGGAGCCGTGAGGATCATCCAGCCCCACCCTTATTAAGTTTTCCGTCTGGTGGGGTCTTGTTTCGGCCAATAAACCCTTTAGCATAGTAAGATGAGAGCAAGATCTTCTCTTCACTCTCGACTTCGCGTAAACTGGGGATTGCAAGGCAGCCACGTGGTGAAGGGCGGAGCAATCCTCAGTAATTAAGCTCAGCCTACAACGACGCAGACTGAAGCACCTCCCACTCTCTGGATGATCCTCACGGCTCCAGAGAAATGGCGTGTCAGGTAAGAACCAACGCCCATTTTAAATCCCGCGGACCACTAATATGAATTTTGACTGATGGTGGCTTGCTGACGTTGGCGGGAAAGTCGGTCCCATATTCCAGAGCTGCAGTAGTCACAGGACTGGCCCTTTGGTCATCCTGGAGCAGCTGCTCCTCCACCCGAGTGCACCGGCATGCCATGGACTGGAGGAGCTGAGGACTATCAAGTATTAAATCTCCTCCTGCAAAGGTTTAGGCAGCCCCATCTAGAGCCACAATTCATAAAGAAATATTTTTCTTTATCATCTTCTCCCATTGTTGATCAGAAGCAAAGAAGAAGCTTACCTGTCCCAGGTGCCTGTTTATACACTGAGAATCCAGGTATATCCTCTGAGATTGTGCTGACTGAATCATCATCTGTCAAAATAACCCAGTTGTTCATTATGATGTTGCATGTCTTATATATTTATCTCTAATTAAACTTACTAAAGCTGAAGCAATATAGGAAACTGCTCCTCCCATTGCTATGTTCTTTAATGCTGTACCTTTATATAGGAGGTGTTTCTTGGCAGGTAGACTTCAACTGCCTTGGGCCTCTCTAATTTGGTGGTTATATAACTCTAATAAATTAATATTTATCCTGAGAGAGCTGAAAAGAATATGTCTGTTTTAAGATTGTTCTGCCTGTTTCAAGATATTGACGAAAACAGAAGATCCAAACCATTATATGTTACAGTAAGCTTTGGATAGCTATGCTTACACCCATACCCTTTTCTCCATATTTATAGCTTTGGTAAATAGTAAATTCTTAAAAGGCTTGATTGCATTGGGCAGCTTAGATGAATTATTACACAATCACAACATTTTCGTACCTAAAACGTTGCCAAATAAAGTTGTAACCCTAAATTGAGAAAAGCAGCAACCCTCGTTCCCGATACTGGTATATTATCAATAAAGACTGATAGTATGACTATAGTCCATAACACTAGCGAAATCTTCTTTACTCCTCAATATTCCTTCTCTAGTAAGCAAAATTAACTTCCCTCACAATAGTTAGTGAGGTTTATTATTTTGTAACTATTTTCAAAATAATAGTTCATCAATAGATGAACTTGGCATCTTCTTTTAGTTCTGCTGACTGGGAATTCTGGGGTTTGCAGATCCAAACCATCTGAAAGGTACCACATTGTGAAAACTATACCGTTTTATGTTTTAACATATTATCATTTATTCTTCCTGTTGTTATAGTTTCTAATCAGGATGCATCTCATCCAAAGTCATTTATATGTTCTGTTCTTGTGATATATACTTGGAAGTAATCTCTGGTGGTGGGACTCATATCTGGCGGGGAATGAGTCTGCCTACCGAGATGAGGTGGACCGGTTGCTTTCGTGGTGTGGAGACAATAACTTGGTCCTCAACACCAATAAGACCAAGGAGCTTATAGTGGATTATAGAAGGAACAGATCAGACATCCAGCCCTTGCTTATCAATGGAGACCGAGTGGAGCAAGTGGCCAGTTTTAAGTTTCTGGGTGTTACCCTAAAAGAGGACCTGACCTGGGGTGCCCACATTGCAGCCCTGGTCAAAAGGGCCCTGCAGAGATTATACTGCCTGAGGCTTCTCGGGAAACAACAACTGAATGAAAAACTGCTGGTGACCTTCTACCGCTGCACCATAGAGAGTATCTTAATTTACTCCACCTCTGTATGGTTTGCCAATTGCGCAATGGCAGATAGGACAGCACTCCAGAGGGTTAACGTCATTGCCCAGAAGATCATGGGTTGCCTTCTCCCCTCTTGGGAAGAGCTTTATAGCTCCCGCTGCCTTAAGAAAGTTCAAAACATTCTCAAAGATCCATCTCATCCTGGGAACCCTTTTTTTGAACTATTACCATCTGGCACACAGTACAGAATAATAAAAACAAGGACAAATAGGCTGAAAAACAGTTCCTGTCCCAGGGCAGTAGCTCTGTTGAATTCTACTATATAGTGCAGTGTTGGTGCGGTGTCAGAGGTTTTCGGTTCAATGTGTGGAGGGTGAAGGATGTTTGTGTTTATTTTCATGGTCATGATGTGCACTGAAGATGGTGTTTGATTTCGTTGTATGAGGTGCAATGACAATAAAGTAAAGTAAACTAACCTAACTAACTAAAGTCTGCGTAGTTAAGTATAGGAAGATTTGCAGTCTTGATTTTCTTGTCTCTTCAGGCATTCTAAATAAGCAACTTGTTCCACCAGTTCATTTACTAATTGCTAATTAGGATGCAGTTTGGTAAATATGCTGCTACTGAATAGGCAGTAGAATAGTTTTGTATTAACATTCAGAGAGGTTGGAGCAGGTAGTGGGCAACTGTGGCCCCTTTATGATTTATGGACTTCAACTCCCAGAATTCCCTGAGCTGATGAATTATAGGAGTTGAAATCCATACTTGATACTGACATCAAGAGATTTGGGACTACTGAACTTTCAAATCCTTCCCCTGCACTTACAGGGCCTGTTGCTTAGTCCATGTGCAAAATCTTATCTTAAATCAGTGACTTTCAACTGTTTTAACCTGGGACAGGTTTCTATATGAAACCCTGTAGAAAAGATTGTAACCGAAAAAGGTGGTTTAATGGAAATAGTTAAATGGCTCTCTCTCTTCCTCTCTCTCTCTCTCTCCTCCCTCCATCCCCCTCCTCTCTCTCCGCACACACACACACACAAACACTGTTCTTCTGTTTTGTGACTGAAATATATTGAGGCTGCTGTTTATTTTTTAAAAGAACAGAATGGCTGAAATTTCATTTCAGGAAAGAAAATGTATAAGTTGGTCAGGATAAAAATTGCTTTTCAATTTGGCACTTCTGGCCAATTAAATTGACTTGGTGAAAACCTGTGCCTCTATTCAAATGGCTTTTGAATAAGGCCTTTGAAACCTTTTGTTTGAAACTGCTATTAGTCAAAATAGCTGAAGTGGGGTGGAGGGAAATCAAGGCAAGCTCACTTTTTTGTCCACATCTGAATTCAGATGGATTCCATAATATTCTGTCTTTATAACTTTGAAAGGATTTTGGACACAAAAAGAAGAAAACAGCAGATAACAACCCCTGCAAATTGATCCGTAACTTAACGACCATAAAAGGCACATACTTCCTAATGTTATACCCCCAGATCTGCTGTTTCTCTCACACGAACTGCAATTCTTAAATACAAGTTGACAGTCATGGTCAAATGCATCCAACAAAACCTTTTTTTCTTTTTTTGATGGGGAGATAATTGCAGCTGGTGTGGAGTGTTTATTATAGTTTTATATTTACAAATTTAGTAAATTTGCAAGAGGTCAGAATCTTGAAATGATTTACCTGTTTTATATACGCTACCCAATGCCCCCCCCCTCCGCTTTCCCCTCCAAATAAACAATTCTGGTTTTTTATTCATTTAATATTGTATTTAATTCTTTTCTCCAAAATCATCCACAGAACAGACTACTGAGGTCCATGGAATTGTATGAGAATTCTTATAATGAGAATTATAAGCAACTAGTATATTTTAGAAACTAATCTTGTAGAAGTAAATTCCATTGTTGGCTATGGAAGGCAAGGAATGCAAGTTGGCTGTGGAAGAAATGGGAGTTGCGGAAACATCTTTGCAACAGTAAAATTATCTTGGCAGTTTCTCTAGTATCTAGCAACTGGGCTGAGGCCTTACACAGTTTCAAATAAATCATGTAGAGGCTTGAAAGCTGGTACTTGATTTGGCTTGGTTTTTTCCCCCTTTAAACTATATTGATAGTTGTGTGTCTTGAGGCTCAGGGCCAGAAAATGCCCATGAAAAAAAAAATATCTTGTCTTTGGAAGGCACAGTTCTCATGTCTGTGACTCTTGTTCTTTCTTGACAATGGTTCAGCGTTCCTTGCTATCATTCCTTTTCCATGCGAAATTTCCAAATGTTGCCAAATTGCAAACATTACAGCTGGAACAAATCATTCCAAGTTGCGCAACATTTATGTAAACAGCCTTTTACATTGCATAACTGATTTCAGATGTTTTTGACATGGGATATATACCACTTGATATTGTTCTTTTATAACACACCAGATCTCCTTGAGCAATATGAAGCATGGTGGTTGTGTCAGCACTCAATATAGTCATGGTACAGATAGGAGGATTGGCTTAGGATATCATTCCATGTGGCCAATGCTTCCTTTTACCTAGAGAGGAGAGGGCTAACCTAGGACTCTCCACAAAGATTGCTAAACCACTAATTGGCTAAGAATGCTGGGCACTGAACTTCAATAAAAGAGGCTTTTGATATCCACCTCTAATTCTAGATGTTACTTTCGGTTGTTGGGGACCACTAAATAAATAATTTCCCTTCCCAAATTGCAGCTTGCAAAGAATTGTAGCCTGCACATATTAGAGCTTTCAAAAAAATTGGAATTTGTTAAGATGTCAGACAATGTGCGGTGTGAAGACATGATTACCTAAGTAGCCATCAGCAGGGGATTATGTTGTCATTTTTCTGACTGGTTACTCATAAAGGCTCCCCTCGCACATATGTGCTAGCTGTTTCCAGCTCCAGGAGGCAGTGCTCCTCTCCATTACAAAGCCGAAGAGCCAGCACTGTCCAAAGACGTCTCTGTGGTCATGTGGCCGGCATGACTAAACACAGAAGGCGCAGGGAATGCTGTTACCTTCCCACCAAAGTGGTCCCTATTTTTCTACTTGCATTTTTACATGCTTTCAAACTGCTAGGTTGGCAGAAGCTGGGACAAGTCACGGGAGCTCACTCCATTACGCAGCGCTAGGGATTCGAACCGCCGAACTGTCGACGTTTCTGATCGACAAGCTCAACCTCTTAGCCACTGAGCCACAGGCGTCCCTGTGGTTACCCATATGGCTGCTTAAATTATCACTTATGCCATTCAGTGAATTGTTTCTCAGATCAACAAGATACATTTCTCATTCATCCAGCTAACTCTCATGGACTACAAAGAGGTGGAGGCTTAGGTGTTACTGAGTCAGATTCAGGTGCATTAATGCATAAGGCAGTCAATTGTGTTTGTGAGTTCAGGTGAGCTGTTTACCAAGCTAAATTTGCAATTGAAGGCTTGAAGATGAATGGAGTTTAAAACTAGCATATGCTAGATAGCAGGGGACTTCAAACTTGACAGTTTTAAGACTTGTGGACTTCAACTCCCAGAACTACTCCTCCAGCCATGTTAGCTCAGGAATTCTGGGAGTCGAAGTCTATATAGGTAGAGAGTGCTTTGCCAGCCCCTTTTGGGCCAGCATTTTACTTCCATATATTTTATTTTATTTTTTAAAGTAGAAGGTGTAAAATATCAAACTGAAGTTCTGATGTGAACTCCTCCTGATCTCCTTCAGCCGCCCACCTAGAGTGGTTGGTGGGGATGAGGGTTTCAAAGTAGGAAGATCATCTCGTCGATGATGCAACTTGAATGTTCCAAAGGGCACAGTGGACTCGCGTCAGAAGAGGAATATAGTGCGGTCCTTGGCTTTTCTCATTCTTGTGTAATGTGTGTTAAATTTTTGCTACTTGCTCTCTGCCAGGGGTCTCCAACCTTGGCAAGAGTTGATGTCCACAAATCTTAAAAGTTGCCAAGGTTGGAGACCCCTGTTCTATGCTGTTCTTTTTCCATGATGAAATTTGAGATAGAGTTCTCAAGTGCTTTCACCCTACTTTAGTTGCAGTTCTTTTGATATCAGTAATGCTCCGACATGTGCTTTTTATGCCAGAATTTGACTCTGAGTCAGCGACATTATTATACATGTAGTCCTCTACTGAACAATTCATTTTAGTGACCGTTCAGAGTTACAACAGCACTGAAAAAAGCAACTGATGACCGTTTTTCACACTTAAGCATCCCCATGCACATGCGATCGAAATTCAAATACTTGGCAAATGACTCATATTTGTGACGATCGCAATGTCCAGGGATCACATTTTGTGACCTGACAAGCAAGGTCAATGGGGAAGCCAGATTCACTTAGCAACTATGTTGCTAATTCCCAATTCAACCTTTTCTTTTTTTGAAAACTATTCATGTAAGATAATTTTTCAGATCCATGGACTTTATCCAGCATTGCTCTGACAAGGAAGATTTAGTAAGCTTGGCCTGAAATGGTTATTTCAGTAAGTTTTCCTCTTTATTGTTCCCTTTTTTTCTGAAATGCTTCTTAAGCACTTTTCAAGCAATGGAACGTGTTAAATTAAATTTTATGCAATTAGTCATTTTTGGATAAATTTTATATTCCACAAATAATACCACCGTTTTAGAGATTCAATTGCAACGTTAACATGATACTTTACTATTCGTGGTATCTTGTATCAGAATATTTCACTTATGTGATCTGTTGATGGATGCTTTACTCTGTATTCCATCTAGGGAAGCAAACTTATCTACTCTTTAGAGCTTTTTATCATACTTAATATGAATTATTTGGAGTGTTAGATGCTTGGCCCTCAAAAGTGGACCTGTTCACAAGTGCTGAAGGTTATGATTTTTCTGCAATGATAATTTGTGGAGGCATGAAAATTCACAGACACTGTCCCCTTTTCTTCTGTGCTTCCCAAATTCAAAAACGTTTGCTTTTGATTAATCATCATTTGCTATTTATTATTCAGCACTTGTAAAGCTGATTACTGTGTCTTACAACTTGTTTCATATAAACCTTGGAATCAGAAGCTTCCACAATTTTTCACCAAGGAAAGAAAGGGAGAGAGAAATGTGCAAGTATGGAAAATGGTTAAGCTTAATGCATTCGGTGGTACAATATCTGTCATATTAAAGAGCTTCATTGGCTAAAAATAAATAAGTCCTCATCAATCCTCCATGACAAGTGATGCAAACCATTACAGGGAGCTCTGAGTCTGGAAAAAGAGTCCTTTTTGCATTTCCTTCTAACAGACTTTTCCAGATTGCATTGATTTGCCAATCTACTAAATTTGGCCAATAAAATTAAGGGGTGGGTGGGAAATAATGCTATTCTCCAGGGGAAAACACAGCCTTTTGTGTTCTTTCAGCTTTCTCCAGATCACAGATTTAAAAAGCAAAGAGACATTAGGCATAGATAATGACAAACCACATTTCTTGAAATGAATTAGCACATAATTTTCTGCTTATATTTCTAAGGAAGCCATGCCTTATTTGGGTGAAACTTACACCAAACAAAGAGTCTGTGGAATCTGTGAATGCTCTTTATCAGTTTAGATAATAATCTCAACAATAGTTGTTTTTTTTTTTGTGCAATACATACCTGTCACTAATGCTATATCTTAAAAAGCTTATCCACCCCAAAGCTTTAAATTTATGAAGCTCATATATTGTCAATCAAGCTATGTGTCTCTAGGCTACAATTAAATTTACATAGTTTTTGTTTGAAATTTAAATTTGACTATTCCAAGATTTTAGCGAAAGAACAGGCACAGAGGTAAACAAAGAAGAATTTTTAAAATATTTTCTTCTATAAAATGCATACGCTCAATGATGGACTTACCTATGTCAATTGGTTCTTGCTTTATGTGTGAAAACTCTGGAATAATATTGATGGAATTGTTGTCTTCCTGAATTACTGTAAATTTAGAGTAATTTTTTAGAAAATGTAATTGACATGTGACTGAATTTCATGTTTTATTTCAATTTAAAACGTTAGTTGGAAGCTAAAATATTCTCTATTATTTTCCTGTGATTGTTCTAAACAATTGTATACAAAGATTTTTATTATGAATGAATAGAATAGAATAGAATAGAATAGAATAGAATAGAATAGGCCAAGTGTGATTGGACACACAAGGAATTTGTCTCCAGTGCATAAGTTCTCAGTGTGCATACAAACAACAAAGTGATAAATCATGCTCATAGTCATCATAAAAATACATTAATCATAAATCATAAAATACAACACTTACTGATAGTCATGGGATACTAATAAGCAATCAACATAAATCATACTAGCATACTAAATAAAACAATGTAAATCATAAGATACAAGCAACAAAACTATAGTCATAAGACGATAAGGAGATAGGTAATAGGAAAGAGAAGAAGAAGGAGGAGGAGGAGGGAGGAGGAGAAGAAGAAGAAGAATACAACCTTACTGGATAGTTTGAGTGTTGTGGGAATTAGTTGTTTATATTTACCTGCTGAATGCTGTATTCTGTAGTCAAGAGTAGCAGGATTTACTTAAAGGGTGTGCCATTCCCTTGAAGATAGCTGGTGGCAGCACTAACTACAAAGATGCTACACCAAAACGGGAAGCAGAGTTTGAGACCTTCAAGATTTCTTTATGTGGGATTAACCCTACTCTTACCCATGCAATGTCTGTTTTAAAAATTTTACAGGACACTAAGTAGAGTGAAGATGGGGGAAGCTTTGGGAGGCTCAGGGCAGGCTATATGGCCCATTGGCATATGGACACCTGCCACTCCTGGCCAGGATCTGCTCCTCACCCAACAACCCTTTGCGGGGGTGGGGGGGGGAGCAGCCTGTGGACAGCTGAACTTCTTCGGCAGGCAGCTCTTCCACCAGCCTCAGACACAAGAGGGACTCCTCCCAGCAGGATGTAAGCAGCTTGCAACCTCACCTGCCAAATTTGCCATTGACTTTCTGGGGATGCCGGCAGAGAAGATTGCAAATGGTGCTCTCCCAATCCGCAGCAACCTGCAAACAGGTTGCTGAGCACCCAAATCACATCGCTTTTGGGGAGGGCATATGTGCAACATTTTCCAACAGATGTCCTTTCCAATCCATTGAACATCCTTTTTGAGGCTGTTACTTTGAACCATCATTATGCAAATGGTTTTAAGTTGAGGGCTACCTGCATTGTGCGATACTCGTATGCATATTAAAATGCGCCCACACAGGAGGATGGGTTTAAGGATTCGTACCCTGACATTTATTTTTTGAGGTTACTAACTCAAGCAAGTTTGCAGGCTTTAACATAAAGAACAATGGATGCATTGTTCTTATCTTGCATAACCACATTCAGGGTGGGTGGGTTTTTTTTTGTCATTATGATGGCATTAAGAATTCTCTTAAGCAAGGAAGTCAAGGATCTTTCTTTATTTCTTTTTACAAAATACGGTAATTATTCATTTTACTTTGCCACACTACTGGGTTTTATCCCAACCAAGGGGCGAGGACGTCTGATCTTTAATATAATTGGTTTCTTGCTGTTTGGTGAATGTGATCCTTGTGATAGATAATATAATCAATTACAGCAGAAGGAAGATCCGACAATCCAAGGGTTGAAAGTCCAAGTTTGCGTTGGGGGGGTCAATGACTTCGTTATCTGACTGCAACTGCGTTCTAAGCGGTTAGATAATTGGCAAATATTAAGCAAGAAAATCTAATGGTAACATTCCAGTCAACATTCAATGTTGGCTTACTTTTATTCATGTTGATTTTCATATCTGTTTAAAGATATCCCTTAGGTCCATGATGGCGAACCTATGGCACACATGCCGGAAGTGACACACAGTGCGATTTCTACTGACACGCGAGAGGTCGCCCGGAACAGACCTACTGCGCATGCATGCACGGCCCCCGCCAGTCAGCTGATTGTCGGGTATCTGCCGTGCATGCGGAGAGGGAGATGCACACACATGTGTGGAGGTGCACAGGGTGGAGGAGTCTCACGCGTGTGCATGCGCAGGGGGTCATGTGTGCATGTGCAGGGGGCGGGAGGGGTCGTGTGCGCATTGCATTATGGGTGCAGGAGGAAATGGTTAGCCATCACTGCCTTCGGTTATTTTCTTATCTTAGGAAAGGAACACTGATTATTTACTGTACATGCTTTTTTAGCTTTTGACATTTTAGCCCCTGTTTGCTGTTACCAGTTGAATGACCATTCAGACAGAACAAACCATGAAGCTCAATGCTTTGTGGGGCTGTTGGAGGAATAAGTTTCTAGAGAATTCTCTGTAGTAATTTGGCGCCCTCTACTGCCCGATGGATGATAATAGCACGTGGTGGTAGCATAAGGCAGATGTTAGGAGTTAATATTCATATAGGATGTTCTTAATTTTGAAATATTACTTTGGTTTTCAAATACAGTGAGAAAACCCAGGGGCGTCCAACTCACATCGTCATGGCGGCATCATGTGACATCAGAAATCCCCCCCCCCCACTTTGCTAAACCAAGCGTGGGCATGGCACATGGCACATCCGGCCTGCGGGCCAGGAGTTTGACAGCCCTGTCATAACCAGTGGATTTATATATGAAGTAATGTCTTAGTAATGACTCCGTAATGTCTAGAATTCATCGTATCAAAGCAGAAAAAGGAATGTAAGTAGTCTTCTACATATGGCCATAGCTGAGACCACAATTTTGGAAAAACAAAGTTATGACGGTCACAAAGCAAGCAACTGCACCTAATTTTACCGCCTTTTTTGCATTAAATGAGCTCCACAATTATTAAGCAAATCTAATCTTTAGGAAGCATTTCCAGAAACAAAACATAAATTACGGTCACATGACCACAAGGTGCTGCAAACAGCCATAAAGTTTAAATCCAGGTTGGGCGTCCCCATTTTCATGGTCTGTTGAAATTTTGGTTATTAAGCAACCAATCAAAAGTCAAGGACTATCTGTATTAGGCTAATGTGAACATTACCTATATTCTAACATTTCCCTCCTTCCCAGTGGTGGGATTCAATTTTTTTTTACTACCGGTTCTGTGGGCGTGGCAGGGGAAGGATATTGTAAAATCTTGATTCCCACCCCACTAACCTGCTTTCCAGCTCCATTCTCCTGTGTAGGGCAACCAAAGAAGACCCAGCCAATCAGCTGGGACTCGCAAGGCGGAGAGTAGATGGGGGAGGGGCCAGTCAGAAGTGGTATTTGCCGGTTCTCCAAACTACTCAAAATTTCTACTACTGGTTCTCCAGAACTGGTCAAAACCGGCTGAATACCACCTCTGCTCCTTCCTCTCTTATTTAGGTTTTAGGAGTGAAGGTAGCTTCACTTTTTGATATTTTATTTATTGCAAAATAAAATAGATGCATCTCCATCTTGAGCAGAATAAACTAGGCATACTAAATTTGGAGTATGGTTGACAGGTTCAGTGAATGTTATAAAACTTGTTGATTATCGCTTCGTGCACAAAATGCTGCACTGCCAGGTTTTTTTAATGCCAGGCCTCAGCAAAATTGTAAAATGAGTTTCTGTCACAGACAGAGTTTTCGTAAGCATCTGTCACTTGATGTCATTTGCAGAGATGCTATTCAGCAGGTTCTGACCAGTTCTGGAGAACCGGTAGCGGAAATTTTGAGTAGTTCGGAGAAACGGCAAATATTACCTCTGACTGGGAATTTTACAGTATCCTTCCCCTGCCACACCCACCAAGCCACGCCCACAGAACCGGTAGTAAAAAAAATTGAATCCACTGGTCATTTGTCAAGGTCTTTATCCATAACCACCATGAATATTTGTTGTGAAACACTTGTACCTTATTTATCAAACTAGCTCTATACCCGTGCTTCGCTACAAAACTATGTGATTGGGCTTAGTTTTGGGGGAGGAAAATAAGGGGAAATATTTATTTTTTTTTGCCTTTGCCTACCAGCATCCATTGGTATTCATCTGGCTAGCATCCTGTCAGTTTGTTGAGGGCTGTTTGGAAACTGAAACAGTATTTGCTGTCTGAGCAAGGAGGAGACAGCAAGGAGCCTGGGCGTGGCTTAGCTCAACTTTTCTGTACTAAAGCTGGTTGCTGCTCTGAAACTGAAACTCTTCTCTGCTTGTGTTTTGCATTTGGAACAGATATCTTTTCAGCTGGGGAAGGGGAGTAGAACTCCTTAGCATCAGAGCGTGTTAATAATAATAATATATGAAATACTAATGCTCTGATGGTCATTTTGAAAAATCCTTTCTTAGTGAGCACCTAGAAGCCAAGAAGAACATACGTGCCAAATTTCAAGTTTGTAGGCTTTACAGTTGTGGAGATTTTGTGATGATGCGTGAGTGGTATTTCGCTTTTATATATATATAGTAGATTAAATAAATTAGACAAGTGCACAGAGAGAACCTAGACATGTAGAAAAAGGGTTACAGATTACAATGAACTGAAGTTTCCTCAGAAAAAAAATTGCTATACTAACTGCACAATAAAGGTGGCAAAATTGCTAATGGAGGAAAGGCAGAATTACCTCAGATTAGGTAGTCCTCAATTTACAAGCACAATTTGGACCATAATTCCACTTGCTCAGAGAGCTAATTAAGTGTGAGTTATGCCCAATTTTACAACCTTTTTGCCATGGTTGTTAAGCAAATCATTGCAGTCCTTAAGTGAATCACACAGTCATTAAGCAAATCTGGCTTCTCAGTTGACTTTGGTTGTTAGAGGCTAGCTGGGAAGATCACAAATGACCTGGAATGTTTTAGCCATTTGCCAAGCACCCGAATTTTGATTACATGACCACGGTAATGCTGAAGTGCGAGGATGGCTTGTAATTTACTTTTTCTTTTCAGCGTCATAACTTTGAACAGCAGCCAAAAAATGTGGTATGTCAAGGATGATCTGTATCTGTTTTGGCTCAACCTTTCCTGGTGTGTGGATATCTGTTCCACTAGGTCAGGGGTGTCAAACTCACGGCGTCACATTGTTGTCATGTAAGGTCTCGTGACTTTTTCCCCCTTCACTAAAATGGGGGTGGGAGTGACCAGCGGATGATGCAGGCCGCGAGTTTGACACCTCTGCGCTAGAGGGTTGTGAAGAACAGAATGAAGCCAACTGGAAGGTTGAGACTGATGGAAATACGTTCAGAAAAACCTATTTACTATAAGCTGAATATACGTCTCTAGCTTTTGGATGAAGTGCATCAGTTCTTGGAAAGATTTTGGGGCAGATCATTAAACAACGGCGATACAATTATTAGAGCCCAGAGTGTAATTGTTAAAAGTCGAATTTCCTGGGCTAACCTTGCCTTATTTTTACATCCTTAGTAGACTGGGAAATGCTATAAGGATAATTGATCTTGATTTCAAGGTATGGAGTAAATGACATGCCTATTGCAAGGAGCTGCTGGTGGTTTGAAAATATACTCTACAACTGTTTCTCATCTTCCTCTAGTACAGGGGTATCAAACTCACAGCCCACGTCATGTGCTGACTACACTCACCCCCAGAAAAAAGTTGCAATATGTCACATGACAACGTGCCATCACGAGTTTGACACCCCTGCTCTAGTATGTACCTGGATGTCCCAGGATTAGGTCTGATCTGATTATAAAACTGAATTATGATCCAGCGATGAGATGCAGCTAAAGAAAATGTAAATGTGGTTTTAAGTTTCATTAGCTGAAGAATAGCAGGAGTTGGAATTACATTAAGATAAATTAACAGACTTTTTGGTAATAATAATTCATCTGGACACTTTTTCACTCTTTCTAAATTATTGGGTTATTGGATTAACTGGAACTGTGACTTTCTCCACATTTAAGTTGTATTATTTTCTAGTTAATGCATTCAATATAGCTCCTGATTTTCTCCTCTAATAATAATAGCAGTTCAACATCAAATTCTGGAAAAAGTACCCTTTTACTGGAAAGTGATTTGCTTTTGTTTGAATTTTTGCATGATGCCTTTCCCTCTTCTGTAATTCATTGATATCTTGTACAAATAATAACGTACAAAAGGATGAAATGAAATTGCAGAAAATTTACCTGAATCAATAATTTCTTCTTTTATATGCTCCCTCCTTAGTGTGGAATTGAGTTTTCCCAAGTGCCCAGAGATACCCTTCTCTGCTGTGCAGTGTATCACTAAAACATCATAAAAGAACATTATGTAAATGCCGGTATCATATTGTAGAGTTCAGAATTTTAATAGTTTAGTCAAGAAATTGATCACCAGTGTCTCATAGTCACCTGCATTTGGTATTTTCCTTGTATTAGTGTCTCCAGAAGTGTTACTAATAAAGTCCTCTTCACCTGTAATTCAAAGCAATTCTGCATAAAATGTTAGGGATTACAGTCTTATAGCTGTAAGATTCTATTTCCTCTAAATGTTGCTCAGTCCTTAACCAGAGAAGCCAAACACGGTCCAACAGCCTTAAATTGCATTTTGCTCGAGTACTCAAGAAGTGTATACATGCCATGTTTAAACAATTCCAGACAGGAAACAAATATAATACATTAATCACATCACCCAAAAGACCGTAATATTCAGTGGACTGCATTTATTATAGTGAATATCTTTGCAAATCTTATGTGGCAATATAACAGAGAACGCTACATAATTAGCCTTCTTAGAATCCTACGTAAGTGCCTTCCTATCAGTCTGGACAGCCCAGGAGATTCTTGGGCAGCAGATCAACAGCTGTGCTGGCTAGAGTTGATGTTGTCCGCAGGGCATCCAGTTAGGAAATGCTGAATAACAGCAATAGCACTTAGACTTCTATACTACTTCATAGTGCTTTACAGCCTTCTCTAAGTGGTTTACAAAATCAGCATATTGCCCACCAAAATCTGGATCCTCATTTTACTGACCTCAGAAGGATGGAAGGCTGAGTCAACTTTGAGCTAGTCGGGATCGAACTCCAGGCTGTAGGCAGTCTGCAATACTGCATTCTAACTACTGCGCCACCACAGATCCTAATTACTCCTAATTACAAGCAGTTGTAACTGTTCTTTCAGAGCTCTATCCCTTTTCACCTGCATCATAGAAAGGGGCCATCTCTGATCACATAGCTGTGGCTTCCATCTTGGTTGGTTTTGTTTTTAAACACCCACAGTTATCCCCTGATTTCCCCACTATCTCACTGTATTGTATGGAGGGTAGTATTATCAACCCTCTCGAGTACTTGTTATTCAGACATTATTCCCTGAATGCCATCTTAATTAAAGCACCTGACCAAGTAGAACACATATCAATCCTTCTATATTTAATTATTTTTCTAGTTTTCTTTCTCCCCTTTTTAAAGTTTGAATGAAGCAGAGTTTGTAAAATGTACTGAAATTCTTTGTGTGCAGATTTTGCTGCAAAATTGATCTTAAAAAGTAACAAAAAAATTTTACCTCTTAATTTTTTTTCTATTGTGGTCTTTGTCCATTCTGTTGGTTTCTCACCATAGTCATTATGGCATCTGCTTGTTTTATCTGCATTGTGTCCCAAAATAGCATCCAATTCTCTGAAAAACTTCATTGTTTTGCTTGTGTTGCCTGAGTACTGGGCATCTTTAACACTCTTATATTCATGCTTTAGATTTTTATATTTTGTTCTGCATTGCTTCCAGTCCCGGTCAATGCCAAATTTTTGTAGTCTAGCAGCAACATGTTCAAATATCCGTTTGTTTCTCACTGTTCCTTCCAGTTGTTGCTGAATGCTCTTTTCTGACCAGACACGTATTAGAGCTCTTACTTCATTAACAGTCCAATGCTTTCCTCCTTCGTTTGCTACAGAAGGAATGAAGGGGAGATTTTTGGAAGCATCTAATACTGTGGTTGGATTACCTGCATCAGGTAGGATGGGAGAAAGACACAGATATGTATTACCTGCATTGGGTAGGATGGGATGGGGTCAGGAACAGGCAGAGATAGTAAGAAAGAGAATGTGTGGTTAACTATTTTTCTTCTCCAGGAACATTTGGAAAAATATAGAAATAAATTCAAGCTGGATAGTACCAGTAAAAGATAAATTTGCTTTTATACCTTTTCTTGTAAAGTTGGTATGCCAGGCAATAATAGTTTTTTGGAGAAAAAAAAATGTGAAAGGGAATCCATAATATTGAGATCTGGTTATCACTATTGTATTAATTCTTCTGGGTGATTTTGGGGTTCAGAAATATATACTAGTCCAGCCAATCCACAGAACCCTATTTTCAGTCTCTAGGCCTTCATTTGCAGTTTCCAAAGCCCTATAAGCACCACAGTTCAATGGAAAATGGCAAAGTTTGGCTGTGCATTTTTCCTGGGAGATATTTTTCAAATTGTAACAGCAACCAAAATAGTTATGCTCAGTCTCTGTTAACTTCGGGGATTCTATTTTTTAAAAAAAATCAACCTAAAATGAAACAGCTTGGTGCAATGGTTAAGGCATCAGTTAGAAACTGGGAGACCATAAATTCGAATTCTAGTCCCAACTTGGACACGAAGCCAGCTGGGTGACCGTGTCACTTTCAGCCCTGGAAAGGATGCAGTGCAAACCACTTCTGAAAAACTTTGCCAAAAAAACTTACAGGGATTTCTCCTGGCGGTCTCTGAAAAACTAGACACTAGTGACCAAAGGGGGGGGGGGGGACTCTATCCAAAAAGGAGGAGGAAAAACTTGCTTCCTTTTGTGATGTCATTGCCATGGGTTTTCTGGGCCATTACTGATTGTAATACCATTAAAACATAGAATTAATGAGTGTCTAAAATCACTAAAATCCTAATTATGACACTCTGGAACTTTTTCTTGAAATGACTGTTATGAATGGGCTCTCCATGGTTTTATTAGTGATAGATACACATATCCACTTTGTATGTTAAAGGTACAAATGATTTTTAAGTAGAGAAATTATACTCACTTCGCCTCAGATGGTGGTGCCCTGTCTTTTGGCATCAGCTTTTTGTTAGAGTTAGTTCTAACAACGCATCAACAACTGACTTTGGTTGTTAAAATTAAAATCTTGCATGTGGGCCTTGTTTTCTTGTATATAGCCTCAGAACTGTTCACTCACCCTACTTTGTCCCTGTCTATGGGAAAATTTGCTAGGAGCTAGCCAACTTCAGCATTTTAAAAAAAAGTAATTTTACTGCATCTCCTCACTTTTAGCATTTTACTTCTCCTATGAGTAAACTCACACTTGCTTGTAAGCAGTTCTTTTGTGAATGTCAACTAGAGGTATATCATCGAGTGACTCTTATTTCTAAATTAGAATGGCATGGGAGAATGGCCTTGAGGGATGAAGCCGACAACAGACAGTGGCTCAATGGCAGAATAAGAAACTTAGGAAAGACCCACCCCACCAAAATGAATCAGGAAGTTAAAAGTGATGTTGGGAGGAGGGAGAGGATTCTACTTCTGTATATATACATGCTAAAGAGTTTTTCCCTATAAATCTGAAGTATTAACAAGGGCTGCTAAATTAGCTAGTTATACCAGGCACACTTGAGCCAATCAATATCTCAGCCAGTGACATCAGTTTTCATAGCCTCAAGTGCCTGAATTTTCTCAACTTAAGTTTGATTCCTCCATTTTCGATCACCAAGGTGTTTTATCAGCTTATTATTCAGCCACCTCTAGATTGTGCAAAAGAGACTATCACCAAGCCCAAAAAGGAACAAAAAGACCTCTCCACCAACAATCAGCACCTAGATCAGCATAGACTAATTCCAAAATTAACATCAGACTAACAATCAAATAAACAATACCCCAATCAAAAAACTGCCAAAGAGGCCAACAGTAAACAGCCCTACCAAATCTCTTTAAGACCAGCCCCACTAATACTGTCAGGGCAAACCACTAGAACAAGGCTCTTCAAACTTGACAGCTTTAAGACTTGTGGACTTCAACTCCCAGAATTCCTCCTCCAGTCGTGTTAGCTCAGGAATTCTGGGAGTTGAAGCCCACAAGCCTTAAAGCTGTCAAGTTTGAAGTCCCCTGCACTAGAATATGAACTGAAAGCAAACCACACTCCTTACTAGCACTGGTGATGTTACCTAGTTTGGGTAATGAAACGTCTGCAAGAAAAGAAGTTTAGAGAGCACCAAGGACCCCTCATTTCAATCCTGAGCTACAAATATTCTCCTTTATGGTTATATTCAGTCACGTTGGTGTGATGGAACATGCAACTGAAGAAGCAGCAGGGGACAGTTTTGCAACACAGTTTTCCCAGAGAGAGGTCCAGATTAAGAGACTGCACATTCCAGGATGGGGAAAGAGGTTCAGGATAGCCACACGCCTAACACCTCTCAGACTATGTCCAGTAGATTAGAAGCTTTAATACAGGGGTTTTCAAACTTGACAGCTTTAAGACTTGTGGGCTTCAACTCCCAGAATTCCCCTTCCAGTCATGTTAGCTCAGGAATTCTGGGAGTTGAAGTCCATAATTCTTAAACTTGCCACGTTTGAAGACCCTTGCTTCAATAGCTTTAATTTGGCAAGATTCTGTCTATTATGTATAAGCAATTAAAGGATTGAACTTGACTGGACTTTGTTGTTTCTGGACTTGGGCTTTTCAGTTGGGAGAGACACACCAAACATTTTCCAATACATTTTCTCTGAAAGCAATAATTAAGAAATAGATGCTAATAATCTCGCATTTTATATTTCCTAGTGAACTTTTGCAGTACGTATGTTACCTATACAAGTTTATTTGTGGAGGAGGATATGCTAAATGGTATGCACAACCATGCGCTAAAAACTGCCTTATTTATTTATTTGTTTGTTTATTTGTTTGTTTGTTTATTTATTTGAATCCTCTACTTGCTCCCTCCAACAACCTCCAACCTAAGAATACACCATGGTCATGCCACTGAAATAGCAAAAAGGAAAACAATCCATTTCATCACTCTCCTAGGCTGCCTTTCATTACCTAGTTCAATAGGCCTGCAATGGGAAATAAAAAGCAGTGGATTGGTAGAAGCTTCTTCGTCTTCTTCTTCTTCTTCTTCCAATGTAACCGAGACTTCACCTGGAATTATAAAGAAGAAAATATGTGTAGGTAGGGAGGGCATAGAGTATATTGAAAAATACATGGATATGCTAGTATATATCCATCTTGGGAGTGCAAAAGGATTGATAAAACCACAAAACTGAACCTCGCCATAAAATGTCCTGAATCATGATTTCTTGTAATGTCAAGGTGTGCATTTGATCAACTCAGCTAGAATAAATCATGTTTAAGCCACTCAGAATTGAAAATGAAAGAGAAGAGGCATAAATAATGTACATTATTTCTGTACATTTGTGTATACAGTATGAAAATAAGATGGAAGCAGGAACAAAACTCTACTCATACAACAGAATGTTAAAGAGACATTGCCAGACAAGTTGCTCTAAGTAAAAGGTAGTATCTACTTACTTTACTATCATTCAACATTATCAACAAATTAAGTTTTAATTAATTGCTTGAATAGGTCCAGCTTTTAACTGAAGTGATTTGCAACTGCAGCATTTAGTTCCCAGTCTATAAACGTTTTAAAATTGCTTAAAGTTAGCCTCAGGTAAGAATTACATCCAAGGAACTGTCATTAGAATAGGTATATCCATTAGCTCTTTCTGCAAATTGCACTTGGGACAACTCTATATTTATTATATGCTACAAAGTGATAAATCATTCAAGTCATGCCTGAGGAGTAATCATATTATTTCAGCTTTTAATTAAACAGAAATGTGATGAAGTAAAGCCTAGCTTTTATGACATCACCCAATTACTTTGGGGTGATGGTTCCCACGTGCCATATAGCCAAAAAAAATATTTCCCATCCTTGATGCAAACTTACTGTAAGCACATCTGACTTCTCTGAATTACAGGACGTCCCAGCAGTGATTCTGCCATACCTTTTGGGTTCCCATTCAATTTTAAAGACTTACATTTATTTACAAATGTATACACTGAATAAAACTGGAAACCTGATTTAAATGCTTCCATCACAAATATTGATATTTTTCCATCTTAGGAACTCTACCACAACAATTTAAGATGCTTATAGACTCCAAAATTGGAAGTGCCGTATTCTCTGAATCCAAATCCAAACTACAATTCCTTTTTACTTTACAAATGCCATAATAGTTATTCATTAAATTTATTTGCCGCCCGTTTCACTATCCAAAGCGACCTTAGTCTTTGCCCAAGGAGAATTCTGATTCTTCCTTGTAGTTGTTGAGAGTTTTTCTCCAATCAAGAAACACTTGGCTAAATAGTTAATCCCATGGCTGCATAATAGGTAGTTTCCCACTTCGTGATAAATCGTAATACTATTTATTTATTCTATAAACCAACATTTTCTGAGATAATGGAGAACCCAAACAGGGCCTGTAGTTTGCATAATGAAAGGAATTGTGTCAGGCCAGACTGGTTAAATATGGCTAATCAATTTGAGCACTAACACTTTCCCCATGGGCTGATAATAATCTGTGAAACAATAGCTACTAAATTAATTGCACAAGCATTTGCACAGAATTCATTTTACTCTGCAGCCCTGGACTGCTGTAGGAAACACCACATTTCACGAGGCTTTCTATTTTCAAAAGGTGTGACTGATTCATGGATTGGATTAATTTGATATGATTAGTATTCTGTCAACGTTACAAAGATTCTATGTTTTCTACATCAATAGAAATACACTACAATAAAACCTCTCTAGTAAAAGAATATAAAGACAGACAAATCATCATCATTGTATAAGCAATCGGATGGCTCCAATCACCCATCTGAAGGCTGTAAGAAAGAATTCCATTCTTAATAGTCTATGGAAAATTGGGTTCAATTACTACACAGAAGTTGTTCCAAAGTGTAGGCAATGGATAGCCTCCACCTGCCCTTCACCCCATGAAAGTGTGGCTCATTTTTACCACAGAATTATTGACAATGAGGGAGGAACCATTTCTGAAGATAATCTGAAAGTGCCATTACAGTACTGATTTTTGCAAATGCCACCTTTCCTTCTGGGTAGTAGTCTTACTTCCTCAAACAAGAGTCCTTCACTCCTTTATGTACCACTGGATAGTACTTTAGGGAAGTGGGGGAAGGGAAACATGCTTTTGTTCACTTAGTTACAAAGCCATTAGATTCAACTCTTTGATTTGGATTAGGGGAAAAATTCTCGCTAGGCTTCTGTAACATAATTAATATCTTCATTTAGAGATTTCAAGAATAATAGGTGAGAAGTATCCTTGGTACACTGCTATTTTTCCAGCAAACATCTATAAACATGATTCACATGTTTATAGAAAGGGGAAAGGTATAGCTTTTCTTTGTGGATCTCAATTTTTTTTAAATATAATTTGTATATGTAAGTTGGAATTGATAAACTGTGAAAACAGAACCAAAAAACCCATCTCCTCATCCTCAAAACCGGGAACAAACGACTATAGACTATTTATCTAGACACAAGATTCAATTTATGGGGTTTTCCTCTCTTTTGTTGCATTGTTTTACATTATTTAAAGATAGTTATTTTTTTAAAAAAAAACCAGTGTCTTTATGTTATTAATTTGAAACAAATTAATGTGCATTGCAAGGTTTATGCAGACTTTTTTCGGTTCTTGTTGCTACAATCAAATATTTAACCGAGAATTCTCTAAAGAAAATGAAACCTTTTAAATTACTTCCCTGATCATGTTTTAAAGGGGAAAAAATCTTCCTGTGATTATAAATCAATGCTTGAAAGCTTCATGGAATAATAATTTACACATGCTCTTAATTTATTATCAAGGAATACTTTTTGTCAAGTGGCTTGATTTGGCTTTGGGCTTTCTTTCTTTTTTTCCTTTCCCCAAAAATATATTTTCTGACTTCCAGCAGGCAAGCAAAATACATCACATACAAACATGCAAAACTCTTGTGAATATAGTTTTTCATTTCAGCAGTTGATTCACCATTTAAAAGAACTTTGATGTGTTTTAAGTGTTCTTTAGCAAGGTAAGACAAATCTCTTGGAAAAACAAAATTTCCAAAGCAACAACATGTTTCCATCACTGCGAGCAGGTGATTTACATTTTTGGTCCTTTTGCTTAAATTCTAGCAGGGCATAAACATATCACTGGGAGTGACATAAATATATATATATTGCTCGTGGCCCAGCATTTTTTCTTCCAACCTAGCAACACAACTATAAAACAGCACAAAATGTTACAGATAAACCAGCAATAAAACCAGCAGAAGTTTGCTGGCCCTTAGTCTCTTTTTTTGTTTTGTTTTGATTTTGTGTTTCTCTAGAGGAATTCGTCTTAGGAAACTAGCTAGCTCAGCAGCTGGTTTAACTTAAGTTTATGTATTTATAGAAACACTCACCCTCCTCCTTGTCTCCCCCCCCTTCCCCAACAGACACACAGATAAGGGAGCGCATTAAGTCGGTTTGTTCTACCAACTATGTCATCTGCAGTGCCTTTGCATGGGCCTGAGTTTTACAAGCCTGTATGTATTTTAGATAACAGCAATAAGAAGAAGGAGGAGGAAAAAAAGGAAAGAGTTTGGGATGGTTGTTTTTACCTTCATTGTTCTCCTTGGTGGCATTTATGATGTCATTGGCTGAACACCTGCTGTTCTCCTCCTCTGTTAAGTGGGTGACAGGTTTATGTTGCAATATGGCATCCAGCTCATGGAAGAACTTCATAGTCTTTGTAGCATCTCCTGAGTTGTGGGCATATTTAACTGTCCTATATTCATATTTCAGGTTTTTATACTTTGCCCGACACTGTTTCCAGTCTCTGCAGATCCCCAATTCCTGCAGCCTTTTAGCAATGTAAATAAATATCCCTTTATTCCGTAAGGTCCCATGGAGTTGCTTTCTGATATTTTTTTCTGACCAGACGCTTAGCAAGGCTTTAACCTCCTCCTCAGTCCAGTGCCTTCCTGCTCCACTCTCCATGTTGAAAGTGACCTGGAAATGATTCACTATTTCTAGCCAAGATTGCGTTTCCTAGGAAACCAGACGGCTGATTGTCAGTAAGCTCCACAGAGATGAAAGGATCCAGTTTTACTGGCTCAAGCTGCCTGAGGGGAGTAACTTGAGAAACTGCCAAATAAGCAGGTTCCGTCTTAGAGGCAGCAAAATAAAGCAGCTCGGGCAGAAATGATTGCAAAGTCTGTTAATCATTGGCACCCCAAATAAGCTGTTTTCTGCTCTGCAAAAATTAAGCACAATTCCAGGGATGGAATGCATTCTGTATAACCTTTGTTATGCAATGGGCTTTAAATATAATCTCTGCTCTTAATGTACACAAGAGCTCTAAGCTTTCCTCCATCTGGCCCCCTCCAGAGGCATTGGATCACCAGCCTAGCTGGGTGCTGAGGATGATGGGAGGTGGTGTCCAATGTATATGTCAGCATATACATATACATACACACACACAACTATAGGCTAGGATTTTGTTTGGAATGAAAACACTTGCACCCCGATTCTCTCCGGATTCGCTAGCAAATGATGCCTTTGGCTTTGTAAAATATTTGGGGTTTTTTTTTCACATGGTTTAGAATCCCTTTCAAAACTGTAAATCATAATTTCACACATGCACATACTTACCTTTCTCCTAAATGCTTGATTTGCATTCGCAAAGCCTTTTGTGGTTCTTAACTAATGGAGTCACTGTAATTTGAATTCTGAGCATTCAGTGATGTTCAATAATAGTTCCACTTCAGTAGTCTACTGAGTGAATCGAGTATAATATGCTAAAAGCAAACCAAGGAAATTAAGTTCAAGTTTGTGTGGAAAACACGTCTATATTCTTTTTGTATTGTCTGGAGCAAATACATGACATCCTTTATAAATGCAAGATTCATCTTAATAGAAAATGTGATAACGCACTGCAATACTAATTTAGTTGGTTTGCAAATTATTTCAATTCTGCATTTTCTGTTTTATATATTCAAATAAAACATTTCATTAAAATATTTATTTGAATTTAGATGATATTTTGGAAAGAATCATATATATTCTGTAGATATATTTCTTCTATATAAATGTTTCTTTTTAAGGGTCTTCCACCACCCCAAATCTAGGTTCTGCAACTATCTCAGGTGCTAATTGAGATCCCCCTGAGTATTGTCAACAAAGGAACCTCGGTGTTCCATAATACTTGGGAGATGTTGCCATGGCAGCTAAATAACTAGCCAACAGGTTCATATTACAGAAGGATTCTGAGAAGGAAGAGAAAGGCAATGCCTTTTTTCCCCTTTTCTCCACCAAAGATATTTCAATCTAGAATTTTTGATGGGAAACTTTGAGCCTGGCATCCTAGCAAACCCGAGGCTCTTCAAATATAATGGGAACTACAGCAATGCTTAATGGAATTCTGGGAATTGTGATCCAACATGCTATAAGGTAAAGGTGAAGGTTCCCCTCGCACATACATGCTAGTCGTTTCCGCACATACATGCTAGTTGTTTCTGGCTCTAGGGGATGGTGCTCATCTCCATTACAAAGCTGAAGAGCCAGCGCTGTCTGAAGACGTCTCCGTGGTCGTGTGGCCGGCATGACTAAACGCCGAAGACGCAACATGATATGGAAGGCATCTAACTAGGAAATGATATTATAAGCACCCTTACGTACTATTGCAAGCCATGCCTCTAATATAGTAGAGAAAGCGACTTCTGTGGGAAAAATGGCAACTGAAGACCGACTCCACCAACAACTATGGTGGAATGAAGAGCCAGTAAATAAACCACCTCTTTTTTAAATTGCTCTCCGGACAACAAAAAGACTTGAGATTACTCAGAAGTGCTCCAGACGGTTGCTTCTCATGAGAATACTGCAAAACAGCAGTCTCCAGAATTAGGGCTTTGGGACACAAGGGAATAATCTTTTTGCACAAACCATGGTCAAAATAAAATAAAATTGGGTACACGTGTTTTCTTTTCAAATCACTTTCAGAAAATGCTTGTTAACTTTTTAGGTTTTAGGAATCTTTGGAGCAACAAATTTAAAAACAGTGGTTGAGTTTCTTTCAAGCCTTAATAAAAGTAGCTTGAAATACAATTTTAAGGACTTTTTAAAAATGGGGTGGGGGGAAAAGCAGCAAAAAGGTAATTGGAAGTTTTATTTTGGGAAGTTACATGTCCAGATACTTTTTTGGAATTAATAAGGTTTTGGAATTAATTATAAGAATCCTTCCCATGAGAAAATGCTTTTGTTTTTAATTATGACTCTAGAAGGTGTTCGGATTCTGGAATATTTTTTTTTCTCATGAAAACCTATTTTTGTCTAATAATTATGAAGTCTGCAGAAAAAAAGTTAAAGGGTGTGTGTGGACCAATATCACATATTCAGCATTTGAACTTATCAGGAAAAAGGATCTCCCCAACTAAATATTGCAGTGTGATAACTTTTCTTTAAAGTTCCAGTCAACAGTCTCTTTTTATATAACGTTTCTTTCCATCTCCCCATTCCCACAATTGCTTTTATGTATTGTTCTTCTTCATGTGTGGTTTTTGTTTTAGGAGGAAGAGTTATTTTCTTACAGTTTACAAAGCTTTTTGCAGATCTTGGGGTCTTCACAACACCTGTAAAAATCCCTCAACCATGAATGGCACCTTTCTGGTGACATAAAGATCCAGACTCAGAAATACAGATTCCTTACCTGCTCTTCCTTTTCTCGTAGAGGCCAAGAGAGTGCGGGGATTGTGACAAGTGATGGAGAATCAGCACATTTCAAAGTGCACAAGGTAATATTATCTGGTATTCCCAAGGGGGAGGGGGGAGATTTCATATGATGTTGTTGACCCAGAGTATAACACAAATGTAACAAAATCCAAAATGTAAATAAATGTCCTTTAATGCCTCCAACTTGGCCCCATTGTTCAATAATTCTCAGTTGGAGATAAAACGTACTCAAAAATAGTCTTCCAAAGAAAGCAATTCAGTCCGAATGTAATGAGCAGATAGAGCTGAAATAAAACACTAAAACAAACTACAATGGAGGAATTTCCACAACGGACCAGAATAAGTAATTACCAACTTCAAGGAGATAACAAGGCACAGTCTGTTGGAAGGACGCCAACCAAGGTAACTTCAACCCAAAATAAAACACGCTTTGCTTCTGGCAACGCTGTGTTGTAATCGTCTCTCTTATATACTGGTCTCCCAGCTGCAATCAATGAGGAGGATCATGGCCGCTTCCTCTCTCGTAAGCCAAGTTGTTTCCTTCTCCGTTCCTCCCTGCGTGTCCTAGGATGAAGAGGGGATGGGCCTGGTTCTTCCTCTGACTGCCCAGCCGGCCTCTGTCCTTCCCCAGCCTTCTCTACAACCTCTGGAGCCACACCTCCACTCCCTGTCTTGACTGTTCATCCTCTCCCTCATGACTCCACCAGGGGCATGACAATGATGTTGATGAGCCATCAAACTGGTGTTAACTTTAGCTGCCTCATAAGTAGATTTTCTCTAGGAGCTGTGCCCAGCCTAGTCCTTCAGGGGTAAAAGAAGATGTGGAGATTACTCTAATTTGTTTTCTCTCTTTAAAAATGAATGCTGGGAGAACTCAAAATATTTCAGTGTATGAATATATTTGATGTAAATAAGACCGTCGTCTGTCAGGATTTTGACACTCCCATTTGTAATTTGTAACTCTCACACATCTAACCATCAAAATTTTATAAAGAGCATTATAAAGTAATGAACATAACTTTGTCACAAGAGGAATGTGAAAAAACATTTAGAAAATGATAACATGCAGTAGTATTTGCATGTGTTGTAAATTGATTTAATGGGTTGAGTTAAGGGATGTCTTAATCGCCTCCCTTGTGGATAACACTCCATGGGGCTGCCCCTTGAAGACCTTCTGGAAGCTACAACTGGCTCAGAAAAAAAGTGACATGCATTGGATGCCCTGCGGTTCAGTTGAGTAAACCAGTGCTGTGTGGGCTACATTGACTTCCAGTGGCTTTCCCAGTGCAATTCATGGTGCTGGTTAAAACACCAAATGGCAAATGTCTAGGTTATTTTCAGGACAGTCTCCCCGAGAGTATCTTCCCATCACACTAAGCCAGATAGGGCATGCCAGAGGTGGTATTCAGCAGGTTCTGACCAGTTCTGGAAAACTGGTAGTGGAAATTTTGAGTAGTTCAGAGAACCTGCAAATACCACCTCTGGCTGGCCCCGCGCCCATCTATTCTCTGCCTTCCGAGTCCCAGCTGATTGGCTGGGTCTTCTTTTGTTGCCCTGCACAGGAGAACGGAGCTGGAAAGCAGGTTAGTGGGGTGGGGAGGGAATGGGATTTTGCAGTAACCTTCCCCCAGGAGTGGGATGGGAATGGAGATTTTACAGTATCCTTCCCCTGCCACGCCCACCAAGCCACGCCCACAGAACTGGTAGTAAAAAAATTTGAATCCCACCACTAGGGCAGGTGTCCTCCCTTAAATGTTGCCACCTGATAGGTCTTGGGAGGCAAGTTCTTTGAAACTTTGTCCTACCTTAGATCCGAGGAATTCCTACCCTTTTATTCCTCCGTAGGGTTACAAAGACCTGTGTTTTCTCCCAGCCATTGGGCTAGGATGGGGCTTGAGTTAGGAAGATATTTGATCTGGAGCTTGGGAAGGGAGGGTTTCGTTTTTTGTTTTTGGATTGGTGTGAGTTGTCCAGACTCATTATATGAGACAGGAAGTCATAGACATTTTGTAAATCAATCTCAATTAAGTAGAGCTTTTTCTTCTTCCCAATTAGCTCAAAGGGATTAGTTTGACACTGCTGTCCACTGTAAGCAATACCGAAAACGCCATTTTAGTTCATCCGTCCCATTTCCTTTTTCTTCGCAGGGAATGGGTCTTGTTAATCACGTGTTCAGCGAAGACAGTCTGAAGAAACTGTACGTTTCAAATCTTGGAATCGGCCATACAAGATACTCTACCTCTGGGGTGTCTGTCCTTGATAATTGTCAACCGTTTGTGGTGGAA